TAACTGGAATGAAAAAGGAAGTAAGGCATTACTTGCAAAAAGTAAACACAGCTGCAGAATAGTAAACAACCAGAAAAACAACTAAACTAAACTTGAAAACGTACATTAACAAAACAAGAATAAATCACTGAATGAATGATAACAAGGGAATAAAATGTTTTTATTGTATTTCTTTTAAACAATTTAACATTTCTTCTGTTTCATTTAAAACGTTGTGAGGTTACACTCAAAATTCTTATTCCTAACTTTGTATTTTTTTTAGCAACTTTTGTGATTATTAAAGAATCATTTAATATATATAGTACTTTATATAATGGTTTATGATAAGTATTTTTAAAGATATATTTTAAAAAAGTTTTAGTTTTAATCTAAAAATCTAAAATGAAGATAAAAGTTGTGTGATTATAATTCAAAACTTTAGACAATCCTATTCACATAAATAATCATACATACTCTTTTAAAGGCAGAAAACACTATTAAAGAAAACATTTTATTTTTTAATTGTAACAACAAACCTATTCCCAATTGCTTACAGTTGATTTTATTTTGAGTTTAGTTTTTTATTACATGTCAAAAATTGTTTTCAGATTTCTAATATTTAAAATAAAAATTTTTTTATTGAGATGAACATACAAGACAGTAGAATAAGAGATGTAATTCTATAATATATTTAGATCAATGATATTTACTTGAATAATTAGGCTGTAATAATGATTTAAATAAATATGAATTTAGGTACATCACAGAATTACCTTTCTATGCTACAGTGAAGTTATTTGAAAACCTAATTTTGCCTAATACATTACACATATTAATTTAACACTGTATGGGTCACATGATGCACTTGGATGAGAGTTAATGTAAAGGCTTCAAAAGTTCATAATGTACCAAAGACAAAATTCATGATGGCTGACACAACTCTACATAGAAATATGAATTATGAGAAAATAAACTAAGACAAAACACTAAAATAAACTTTAACTGCCACAGTGTCGCCTCTCTGCCCAACATGACATTTTGCTAGTTTCGTTAATTAATAATTAATAATAATAATAATATAGATGTGAAGATAAACAGCACATGTCTGGTGAGAACCTCATACATTGCCAAATAGGTTTTATAAAAAGTAAAGCAGAATTCCTCAAAACATAGCCCAAATTATTTTTAAACTGACCCAAGAAGTAGTAAATTGCCCAAATCTAGTAGCCTAGAGCCCTACAAACATCTCAATCTGCTTCCTGTAATCCAATCTTGCAATCCCAAAAACCAATAGTATTTTATGAGATAAGAAGAAAAACTGGAAGGTGACATCCAAAAATGTGTTACTGTAAAAGCAAAGTCATATTGGCCAGATTAGAATTGATTTTGGTCTATTGTTTTCTTAAAGCATGGAGGCACTTTGAATGAGTTAATATACCCGTACCACAGTTTGGGCAAAATTTTAAATTCAAATTTTTTAGTACAGTAGAGCATCAATTATCCAACTCAATTGAGGACTCAGGTTGGTCGGATAACTGAAAAAATCGGATAACCGAAAAGAATGAAAAAAATACATCATTAGTATAGTATATTAGTATATCCCATGTAATTAGTATATTAGTATATCGCTATTAACCAACTTTGCGTTGAATTTTCATCGATGTTAAGCCTAACAAATTTTTTTTTNATATATTAAATATTCTGTTAATATCTATAACTAAATGAAAAAAGTTTGACAGAAATTAAATTGTAAGAAAAATAACATAATATGGCACATAAATTCATAAATTATATGTTAAAATACAGAATAACATAACTAATAAAATATGTTTTGTAATACAATTAAATTAAAGTCACCAAAAATTGTTTAACTGTAGTTTTCTGTCTCTCTCAATTTATCAGTCCAACCAGCTATTTCAGAATCATCATTAATAGATGTGTTTTTATACAATTGTAAATTTTAAACTAAGTTGTTTATGCATGTAAAATATTCCAATTTATGAAGCTGAATATAAAAATTCCAGTAGAAGTTAAAATTTCTGTTAAATTGTTAACAATATATATATATGTTTGATATGCATGCCATATTCCAAGTCCCAATGAGATACATGTCATGAGTTAATCATTTTCACATTTAAAAGTTAACTTTTTTAATTAAATGAAGTAAGTATTTCATCTTTTAGAACATGTTCTAACCTATCTGTATAGTAATGCCAAATTATATCAAGTTGTATTACTACTACTATTATTAATTAAATGCTAAGTAATTTGGCACTAGAGGCATGTGTTAGAGTGTATCTAGGCAAATGCAAGTGAGCGAATTTTCCACGTGCGCGAGAATATGTGGTGAGAAGAGGCGAGACACAATAAATATCAAACCCTGTCAGATATGTACAAGAACCAGAAATTCACTCAAACCGGCGAGATTTCTAGCTTCTTGCTTAGGCATGTTTTTCTTTGTGAGAACTATATCGCTCGCAATCTCTCTCTCGCTACTAAATTTGTATCTGCATAGTTGCACCTTTATGTACCATATCTTACTAAATTTAATAATTAAAATTAAATTAAAATTTTAATAATTAATTTAGAAGGTTCTAGAAGAAGAAAATAGGCCCAAAGTGGGATTCAAACCCACAATTCCTGCAAACCGTGCAGTCGTGTTGCCAGTTCCAATCATCGCTTCCAGAACCTATTAATTTAGACATAACCATACCAATTTAGATAAGTGGAAGTCACAGATCAAGTCTTGCTTTGAGCCAATTCTTTTCTTCCAGTACCTTCTAAATTAATTATTAAATTAGAAAGACATAGCACCTAATGCCTGCCTCTAGTGCCAAATTACTTAGCATTTAATTAATAATAGTAGTAGTAATATAGCCCAATATTACTACAAATATAATAATTCAGCAATTGTTTGGCTTTAATATATAACTATTGGGTCTTGTTACGAATAAGACTTATTATACTGGTGTAGTTTCCAATTAGCAAATAGAGGAGATCTTACTCAAAGTCCTCTATTTGCTAATTGGAAACTACACCAGTATAATAAATCCTATTAATAAACAAGGTCCAAGTAGACAAGAATACAAACAGAAATTTATAAAAGTAAGGACACAGAGGTAAAAAGAACTATAACTATAAGATTCTGAGTTTATAATTGTATATATGTATATTATTTTTATTAAATTCTAATTCAAGTATTTTTCTTTTGCTCCCACATTATTTGCTATTTCACTTTTGCTTGAAAACTAACATAAAACTAGATTCCAATTGTTTTCAGTTATTTATATCATTACAATGTGTTCTAGTCTGACTAGTAGCATAGAATGTAACTTGAATGCTTCACTGCAATACAAAATAAAAATAAGAGAAATTTAAATAAATTCAGGCAAATGAACATTCTTAAAAATTTATTTTTAAGAATGTTCATTTGTCTGAATGTTTTGTCTGAATTTATTTCTTGCTCCCTATTAAAAAAAACAGCTAAATTCTGTAATAATTGCAGAATCCAACTAAGTCATAATTGTACAAATAAACAGATAAATTAATAAATATGTTTTTCATTTTTTAAAAGTTATATGCATAAAAGCTGATCAATTTTTTTATTGTTTTTAAAAATAAACTCTATGTTCCTATTATAAATTTTAAACCCCATGTAGCCCTGACATAGAAAAACAATGAATACTCTTCTTAAGTTTCTACCCCATTGAAAAGCACAAGTTTTTTACAGCTATCTTATACTTGGTTTAAAATTATCTTTTGGTAAAAAATGAAGTAATATACAGTAAAAAAAAACAATTTAAACCACATAATAAGCACCCATACAATAACCAATACAAACAATAACCACATACAAAAATTTTGGAAATGTAAAAGACAATAACAAATTACTGATTATTATTATTAATAAACATTCTACAGTACTTAGAAACCAAGAAATCAGTAAAAGTGAGCAGTTCTTTTGCTAATTTCTTGTTCATTAATTTTGGAAATGCATTTTTTTTTTGTTTGCATGTTGTCACCAGCCTACTAGTAGTTCTATTGAATAGTTTAACATTGATATACAAAAATGGAAAAGTTGATTAAAATACAGAAATGGACAAATAAAAACACAATCTTATTAAATTCAAAACACTGAATGCAAAGTAAAATATTTAATTTATCTGTATCAGTGTCTTCACGTAACTTGCAATACATTACATGGGTTTTATGACACGACCATACAAACTTTTTACATTTTTTGCATTTGATTCTATTTTTCATGTCTTTTATCTTTGTCAAAATGAGCATCTTCTACTTGTAGATGTATAAACATTTTCTGCTGGTGATAAGGCTGTGTATTCTACTGTTCTAAAACTAAAATGTTTAACACACCTCATTAAACCTCACCTGTGCCTAGTAATAAATTTCACAGGTAAACAAACATTTTTGGGCTCTTTCTGAGCTCTGCTTTAAGTTTTCTGCATTTTACGAATGGAACATACATAGAACACAGATCATTTAAAAAGCAGAGCTCAGAAGGAGCCCAAAAACATTTGTTTACCCATGAAATTTGTCACTAGGCACCAGTAAGGTTTAATAAGGTATGTTATACAATAAGCCCAGTGTGAAGGTGAAAGAACTATACTGAAATGTTTGAAAAAACCAAACTAAAACATTTGTGCAATACACTTTGCACTGACAAAATCATTACTCCTCAAAAAAGTTGATTGTATAACCTAAAATCTTATATGGTACAAAAATTTAATTCCTAAGATAGACAAATGAGTCTATCTCAAAAATTAATGAAAACAGAATGCATTTTAACCAGCACTTTTAGTATTTTAAAATCATTATCTTAAAATGGCTCCACATATTTCATATTTGCCAAATGTTGCATAAACGCAAACATTTTCCTAATACTGAGTAGTGTGGATGATTTACTTAAGACTTTGTATTTGGTATTTCCTATTCTCTATCAGTATAACTTACTGAATCAAAAAAGCTTATTGCCATTGTTTGAAAGCTTAAAACTCGATAGCTGTTATATTCGATTTTGCCTGATGAAGGTAACTTTATGCTACTGAAAGTACTAGCGAACATTCTCATTTTTAAAGTTTATTTTAATAACACCACAACACTTAAGTGTTATTACTATATATTTACTGAATCAATGGGAACAAATAGGCAATCAAATCAGGAAATCAAAGGAAACAAACAGGAAATTATTCATAACAATCCACGAAAAACCTTTTTTTACGAGTGTTATGTCACTATTAAATTCCACAAGTACTTTTGACCTCCACCGGAAATTATTCAGTAACTGACAAATACAAAATGTATGGAAACAACTTTACTGAAAGATTAAAACCTTATTCATGTTTGTATGTACATTATTTTATTATCAATTCCAAAATATAGTAAAAATAATGAAAAATTTAGTATTCAGAAAGCAGTAACCTAAAACAGCTTTTATATCAACATAATTTATCTTATACCTGTGAAATGATATCCATTTAACATTTTCAGAAAGAACAACTCCTGATGTCATCAATAACTGGGCAAACTCATAAGGTTCAATTCCTTCTTCTTCATGCTTTTTGAACTGAATACCAGAATTTGTTAACAGATCGATTGAATCTTGGGCATACATATCTTCACTAAAATAATGTATATAATAAAAAAAACTTTAGAATGATTTTAAAAATTACAGATATTTTTAAACAGAATAGAAAATTTACAATGACATAAACTTACGTCAAGTTAAATTTAAAATTAAATTGCCATGTCGAATATCCACCAGAAGGCATTTTACCGGTCTCATCTAAAAATGTAAGACCCAATTGAATAATCTTTAGCAGGTCAACGTTACAACGTAACAGCTGATATTGATAATCGGCTGTGCTACGAAATTCTCCAATTGGTCGTGCTACAACTCCAGGAAATTCTGTGTCCTGTGGAATAAAATTAGTGTCATGTCAATATGAGTAATTATATAAAATATATTTGTTTGAAGTTTATAATATATCTAAATAAAATTAACAAAATCAAGATAACTATTGACTGTTTATTACCATGGCAACATACTGGTACTCTTGGACGATTTTACGAATAGCCTTAAACTCCTCTTCCAAATTAAACGCCCACACGTCTCGTATCCCACAGGCTTCATTACTAATTTGAGCGTTGGGACTACTTTCATTACTGTTATTTCCAGGACTGGGTCCTGACAATGCAGGCATTGTAATCAGACATCAACAATGTTCAAGTTCGGTTTGTATGAGTTATGAATATTCACGAACCTCTCGCTTTCATGAATAACTTGCTAAATACGTGACAGCATTCTTTATTTTACTAAGAAAACAACTGAAAATAAAATATATGTATTAATCAAACAATTCTTTAAAAATATTTTTTAGATAAATATATTTTAATAAAAGACAAAACTTCAAAACTAAATTAAGTTGCTTATAAAATAAACGATATTATAAAATGTTTAATAAAGTGATGAATATTCCGAATTTAAACTTGCAAATAAATTTGAAGCAATATAGTATATCTTTTAGATATAATTACAATAGGCATATTAACATTTTTACCAATTTTTTATAAAAGAAAATAATAAAATACAAGATAGACAATGCTTATTTAAATTGTAGCATATTTATTAAATCTCGATAATTATTTATATAATTATTTGGACTAGAAAAAAATCTAATAATGTCTTACCAATTAGTAAAAAAACCTGAATTCAAAGTCTGGACACGAAAATTTTCAGCAGTTATTAATACAACTACTACATATTTAATTTCACTTATCATTAACTTTATCTAAACAGTTTATATCTGATATTAAACCACTACATTTTTCAGTTTATAAACATAAAAAATGAATTTATTAAACTCATATAAAGGAATACGACTTCTTATTTAAATATTATATATGTATATAAATATATTATTAAAATTTTAAAATATTAAGAGATAATTTATATAATTTTATACTTGTTTAAATATATTAATCATGTAATAATTCGTTGCTTAATAATATAGTACAGCTTCCATTAATGAACAAAAAATTTCTGTCTTATAGGAAATATTTAAAACCTTTTCAATACTTTTCTTTTAAATAAATTAATATTTTATTATTTTTCAATGGCATTAAGATAACGTATTGTAATTTAACAAAATAAAATATACCTCTGTACCCTCGTGTCTCATTTAAAAGGCAGTAAATCGAATTAAATATAAAGAAAATGTATCTGTAAGCAGAATAAACACATTTTTTTTATTGAAAAACCTTAATATTTTTATCATTTTTAAATATATTTATGGTACGTTACTTATTTCTATTTTATTAACTTTGTAAATATGTCTGTGAAAAATTTAATAGACTAATTTATTAATAAATAGCGGCCAAAAAAAAAAAAAAA